GTATCGACAACAACATGTACGGTAAAGTAGCTGTAGCCATGTGTATCGACAAGAACATGTACGGTAAAGTAGCTGTAGCCATGTGTATCGACAAGAACATATACAGTAAAGTAGCTGTGGCCATGTGTATCGACAAGAACCTGTACGGTAAACTGGATGTAGCCATTGTATCGACAACAACATGTACGGTAAAGTAGCTGTAGCCATGTGTATCGACAAGAACATGTACGGTAAAGTAGCTGTAGCCATGTGTATCGACAAGAACATGTACGATAAAGTATCTGTATCCATGTGTATCGACATGAACATGTACAGTAAAGTAGCTGTGGCCATGTGTATCGACATGAACCTGTACGATAAAGTATCTGTATCCATGTGTATCGACAAGAACATGTACGGTAAAGTAGCTGTGGCCATGTGTATCGACATGAACCTGTACGGTGAACTGGATGTAGCCATGTGTATCGACAAGAACCTGTACGGTAAAGTAGCTGTAGCCATGTGTATCGACAAGAACCTGTACGGTAAATTGGATGTATCCATGTGTATCGACAAGAACCTGCACGGTAAAGTAGCTGTTGCCATGTGTATCGACAAGAACCTGTACGGTAAATATGATATAGCCATGTGTATCGACAAGAACCTGTACGGTAAAGTAGCTGTAGCCATGTGTATCGACAAGAACCTGTACGGTAAACTGGATGTAGCCATGTGTATCGACAAGAACCTGTACGGTAAAGTAGCTGTGGCCATGTGTATCGACAAGAACCTGTACGGTAAAGTAGCTGTGGCCATGTGTATCGAAAAGAACATGTACGGTAAAGTAGCTGTAGCCATGTGTATCGACAAGAACATATACAGTACAGTAGCTGTTGCCATGTGTATCGACAAGAACCTGTACGGTGAACTGGATGTAGCCATGTGTATTGACAAGAACCTGTACGGTAAAGTAGCTGTAGCCCTGTGTATCGACAAGAACATATACAGTACAGTAGCTGTGGCCATGTGTATCGACAAGAACCTGTACGGTAAATTGGATGTAGCCATGTGTATCGACAAGAACCTGTACGGTAAATTGGATGTAGCAATGTGTATCGACAAGAACATGTACGGTAAAGTAGCTGTGGCCATGTGTATCGACAAGAACATATACAGTACAGTAGCTGTTGCCATGTGTATCGACAAGAACCTGTACGGTGAACTGGATGTAGCCATGTGTATCGACAAAAACCTGTACGGTAAACTGGATGTAGCCATGTGTATCGACAAGAACCTGTACGGTAAACTAGATGTAGCCATGTGTATCGACAAGAACATGTACGGTAGAGTTTGGTGAATTGTTGCACTCGTTCTTCTTACCAAGCCTGGTTCTTAATTGGAAAAATGTTAGGATTAGCTCCGATTCCGACGTCTGACTACAAATGGATCGCAAAACTCTGTAATTGACGCATCAATCCACGCACAACTAGCAACTGGTCATTACCGAGGTTATAATTGTTGGCGTGTTTACCCGTGAGAATCTACACAAACATATTTCATGCTCGGGGTCAAACGCGTGTTTACTTTCTGAGTTTACGTGTTTGTGAATGGAGTCTAAAATTAGCATTCCTGGAAGAGGTTCTGGCTCAAACCCCAGCAGGCAACTTTTGAGCTCAAATCGCTAGTTTACCCCGATAAGTCAGTTATGACTGCGAGCGTGTGTGTTACATGGGAATGTTATAGCCACACGGAGAGATAGACTGTGCTCATGCCTTGACATCGCTTTATCATGTTTAAGATGTTTTCATCCCAGACATTATTTACAGATAGTTTGGTAAAACTCTTGCTTTTTTTTAAAAAAAAGACGCGCGTGTGTGAGGGGTGGGTGGGGGTATTTTCACTATTTTGAAATTTTGCATTTCGTGTTTGTAGTTATCGTGTATTGTTTTAGACAATATGTATGTTTTAGACAATATCTCACCCGAGTGTCTTTGGATGTCAAATATCATCCAACATCATTCTTCCAATGTCAAATTCATCTATTTCTCGAATCCTATTTTTACTACGTACGAGGGCAAACATACAGAGAATCTCACCCGAATCTCTTTCGACGGAGTTTTTTCACTTTGGTCAACTCGTGTTGATATATTTGACATCAAAAGACACGATGGGGATTTTATTTATCATCCAACATCAATCTTCCAACTTTTTTCGGTTGCTAGACAGTAATAAGCAGTGTCTTAGTGTAAAAAGTACTGCTAACAGCTTCAGTAGCAGAGCCATTAGTGATGTCATTTGATTGTGACGTCATGGTGACCAATGACGTGACAATAGTCTGCAAAGCATTGTGATGCAATTTCATTGCAGCGATATCTATAATGTTGATATCATGTTGATATCGCTTGATCTCACCCAAGTGATATCTCCTGTGGGAGCCAGTTTGGGGTGATACATACGTGTGTTGGAAAGAATTACACAAACATTATGTTGTACAAATACAGCGACCCGTGAAGATTCCGGGGTAGAATAGGTCTTCAGCAACCCATGCTTGGCGTAAAAGGCGACTATGCTTGGCGTAAAAGGCGACTAACGGGATCGGGTGGTCAGGCTCGCTGACTTGGTTGATACATAGCATCGGTCCCAATTGCGTGGATCGATGCACATGGTATTAATCACTGGATTGTCTGGTCCAGACTCGATTATTTACAGACCGCCGTCATATAGCTGGAATATTGCTGAGTGCGGCGTTAAACAACAAACCAACCAACCAACCAACAAATACAGCAGAATGCGTATGTGTAGACGATATTCGGAGGAAGGGTTGAGACAAGAATATCTAAGTGATGATTGCACACAGATGTTGTACATAGAGGATATTATATGAGTGTTCATGTCATACTAGGTTTACGACATGAGTGTCTAAATTCCGGTATTTCCCGAGCGAGTGCGTGAAAATAACGGAGTTTCCGCACGAGTGTCGCTAATATAGTATGACATGAGCACGAATATAATATCCTCTACGTACAACATGTGTTCATATATTACCGACGAATATGTCGACATACAGAGACGAAGTTTAGTGTTTACCTATGAGGACACTAAGTCGCAACAGCCGCGGAACCACAATTTGTCGAATGACGTCTTCAGCTGTGACGGCGTTTCGAGTGAGACGTCACTCCGACATCACGTCACAATAAGATTCGAATGACGTCAACAATGCCCTCCGGATGATCGAAACAATGCACTGTTGTCGCGTGACGTAATATGACGTCATATAATGATTTTCATTAACCTCGATTTATCATCCCTAACTGGCTCCCACAGGAGATATCGCTGCAATGAGATTGCATCACAATACTTTGCAGACAATTGTGACGTCATTGTTATCATGACATCACAATCAAATGAAAATGGCTCTGCTACTTCAGTTGTTAGCAGTACCTTTTACACTTTTTCAGTGCTTATTACTGTCTACAAACTGAAAAAGTTGGAAAAATGATGTTGGGTGATAAATAAAACTGCACCCTCGTGTCTTTTGATATCAAATATATCAACACGAGTTGATAAAAGTGGAAAAAACTCCGAGGAAAGACACTCGGGTGAGATTCTCTATGGGTATGCCCTCGTAGGTAGTAAATATAGTTGCGGGGAGGATTCGAGATGAGTTTGACATCCTACCTGTGGAGGAGGCGGAAGATGACTTGTGGTTGCAGTAGCAGAAACTTGATGACATGTTGGGGCCGGAGATTTACAATCACCATGACCAGCAATACTACCCAGCTCTCTGATTGGCCAAAACGCCCGAACTCGACAGCGAGGTGCATGACAATACAATCAAATACGCTTATAACGAACTGACGGATATTACGAACTTAATGTTTGGTCCCCGCCATTTGCTGTTTAGATGTTGAATGTATGCTTATAACGAACTACGGTTATAACAAGCTTAAACTAGTGGTCCATTTGAGTTCGTGATAACCGTAGTTTACTGTATAGCTTTATACATCAAAGTGACCGTATCGTCAGCTATGCGTAAGATTTCGATATCTGCACGTGTAGCCGTACAACACATTCTTGACATGTGTTTATCTGAATGTCTATACTCTTGCTGAGTAGACCGTGTGAGGTGTGACGAATCTCGGGGCCTATGGGAGAGGTTCACCGCAAGGAACTCTGGGTAGGAGAGTGGAAAAAACCCAGACTGTTTCCCGGATATCCTCCGTTCGGTTCCAATTTGTCGAAGCAGTCTATAAAAACTCATGCAAATGTGTCAGGTAAGCTGGGCCCCGTCTCGTATTATAAAGTTGAAGACGCGCATATAGAGCCGGGAACCAGCTTAGTTTGTCAGGCAGCCTGTACGGTTGTCATGACGTCATAATGTGTCATAGGACGTCATGTGCTTGTCACTCCATAACTAACCCTGATCCCATGTCAAACCCACTGGCGGTCGTCAAGCTGACCTGACATTGCCAGAAATAATTTCACCGCGACGTTCTTGCAATATGGAGTACATGTGTCACAAGCGGGGTGTATACGCATCTAGCAGCCGAACGTTAGTGGACACAACGAGGTCGCGGCCAGCTCAGCCGGTAAAACCCGTACACCCCACTAATGACACGTGTTCCTCCAATTAAAGCTAGTGTGGAGTGAGTGAGGTTTTACGCCGCTTTCAGCAAATATCACAGCGGGGGCCAGGAATGTGATCCACATATTACATGTATCTGAAATATTGTTGTTTTGGGTCCACACAACTAAAACCAGTTATTTTCTAAAAAACGCAATTTTTCCAAGTATTACAGCATGTTTCGTCATGGCGTTCTTGTAATAAGAAGATTTAAACAGACGTGGCTGTTCTCACCTATTCACAACAGGCCGAGTTCCACACAGAACTGAATCTGCAGCGTAAGGACGATCACGTTACCAACGCCGTCACCACAAGGGGGTTTAGTCAGAAAGAACAGGTCTCATCAAAGGGAAATAATAAATACTGGCATTCCGTCCGGCAATATGACAAGAGAATCTCAATTGACGGAACTGCCATGTGTTGTGTCGGCTGTGGGAGGGGAATACATCGTAGACTGGTAGTTCGAGGGAGGGGGAGGGTAACATATTGGATGCTGGTAGTTCGAGGGAGGTGGGAGGGGAATACATCGTAGACTGGTAGTTCGAGGGAGGGGGAGGGTAACATATTGGATGCTGGTAGTTCGAGGGAGGTGGGAGGGGAATACATCGTAGACTGGTAGTTCGAGGGAGGGGGAGGGTAACATATTGGATGCTGGTAGTTCGAGGGAGGTGGGAGGGGAATACATCGTAGACTGGTAGTTCGAGGGAGGTGGGAGGGGAACACATTGGAGACTGGTAGTTCGAGGGAGGGGGAGGGGAACACATTGGAGGCTGGTAGTTCGAGGGAGGTGGGAGGCTGGTAGTTCGAGGGAGGTGGGAGGCTGGTAGTTCGAGGGAGGAGGAGGGTAACACATTGGAGGCTGGTAGTTCGAGGGAGGTGGAGGGTAACATATTGGATGCTGGTAGTTCGAGGGAGAGGGGGGGAACACATTGGAGGCTGGTAGTTCGAGGGAGGTGGAGGGTAACATATTGGATGCTGGTAGTTCGAGGGAGAGGGGGGGAACACATTGGAGGCTGGTAGTTCGAGGGAGGTGGGAGGCTGGTAGTTCGAGGGAGGGGAGGGGAACACATTGGAGGCTGGTAGTTCGAGGGAGGGGGGAGGCTGGTAGGTTGAGGGAGGGGGAGGTGGTAGGCTGGTAGTTCGAGGTAAGGGGAGGTGGGAGACTGGTAGTTCGAGGGAGGGGGAGGTGGTAGGCTGGTAGTTCGAGGTAAGGGGAGGAGGGAGACTGGTAGTTCGAGGGAGACGGGGGGGGGGGGGAACACATTGGAGGCTGGTAGTTCGAGGGAGGGGGAGGGGGGAGGTTGGTAGTTCGAGGTAAGGGGAGGTGGGAGACTGGTAGTTCGAGGGAGGGGGAGGTGGTAGGCTGGTAGTTCGAGGGAGGGGGAGGGGGGAGACTGGTTGTTCGAGGGAGGGGGAGGTGGGAGGCTGGTAGTTTGAGGGAGGAGGAGGTGGGAGGCTGGTAGTTTGAGGAATGGGGGGAGGGGAACACATTAGAGGCTGGTAGTTCGAGGGAGGAGGAGGTGGGAGGCTGGTAGTTTGAGGGAGGAGGAGGTGGGAGGCTGGTAGTTTGAGGGAGGGGGGAGGGGAACACATTGGAGGCTGGTATTTTGGGGGAGGGGGAGGTGGGAGACTGGTAGTTCGAGGGAGGGGGAGGTGAACACATTGGAGGCTGGTAGTTCGAGGGAGGCGGGAGGCTGGTAGTTCGAGGGAGGTGGGAGGCTGGTAGTTCGAGGGAGAGGGGAGGCTGGTAGTTCGAGGGAGGTGGGAGGCTGGTATAGTTCGAGGGAGAGGGGGGAACACATTGGAGGCTGGTAGTTCGAGGGAGGTGGGAGGGGGGAGACTGGTAGTTCGAGGGAGGGGGAGGTGGGAGGCTGGTAGTTCGAGGGAGGTGGGAGGAGGGAGGCTGGTAGTTCGAGGGAGGGGGGAGGAGGGAGACTGGTAGTTCGAGGGAGGGGGAGGAGGGAGACTGGTAGTTCGAGGGAGGGGGGAGGGGGGAGGCTGGTAGTCCGAGGGAGGGGGGAGGAGGGAGACTGGTAGTTCGAGGATGACTGACGGGGGTTCGAGCGTTGGTTATTTCCGACTTGTACCAGAGAGGGGCTCCTTTTGGGAGAGACAGGTGCGCGGAGGTGGCTGGTCGAGGATTTGTTTATTGGTTGTTTTGAACATGAAGGCGTGTTCCGCGATTATTGAATACTTCGGATAGTAGAGATGGCAGCCACAAGCACTGTACTTCCTGACCCTTGTTGCTCAGGCTTGATGGTCGGTGAAGGTCATTTCATAGAATATGAACGTGAAAAATGTTCCAAGTGTATTCTTTCTAAAGAAACAGTTCGCAATATATTACCATGAAATATATTGCTTCTTTCCCCTGTCATTCGATGAGAGAAACATGATACTTCACTCGACACATGGAATATCCTATTCATGATATACTTTGTGTGTAGTTGTCTACCAGAAATTAAATAATTAATTTCATTACAAATGTAAAACCTTGAAACGTAAATTCTCCCAACCTTAGCACGCAGGGACATTTCACGACCCTTGTAATTGCGACTTAAAAGGTAGTTCCAAGTTTGCAAAATCGTAAAATATATAAACAACAGATATATTTATATATATTCTTTATCATCACTTGGATATGATTGTATATACAAAATCAACTTTTAAAAATATTCTTGTAAGCTTCGAGGCCGCTGTTGGAAGCTAAGGAATACACACTGATCAAGTAACGAAAATGACGAGTTAAATGAGCAAATTACAGTTTATAACGAAACATTTCCAAGAGAATATCAAACAGCAAGAAGCGAGATTTATAACTCCATAAATAAAAATCTGTCATTATTTTGCCCTGTCAATATGGGACGAGCGTAAAGAGAATGTCAAGTGTTTGTGTAGGGACGAGACTGTTACGATAAAGGAAGACAATTTGCACTCTGTGTGTGTCTGTGTGTGTGGTGAGTGTGTGTCTGTGTGTGTGGGTGGTGTGTGTGAGTGTGTGGTCAGTGTGTGTGTCTGTATGGTGTGTGTGTGTCTCTGTGTGGGTGTGTGTTCGTGTGGTGTGTGTGTGTGTGTGTTTGTATCTGTGTGGGTGGTGAGTGTGTGTCTGTGTGTGTGGGTGGTGTGTGAGTGTATGTGTGAGTGTGTGTCTGTGAGTGTGTGGTCAGTGTGTGTGTCTGTATGGTGTGTGTGTCTCTGTGTGTGTGTGTCTTTGTGGTGTGTGTGTCTCTGTTGGTGTGTCTTTGTGGTGTGTGTGTGTTTGTATCTGTGTGGGTGGTGTGCTTATACGTGTGTTTGTGTGTCTGTATATGGGTGGTGAGTGTGTGGGGTGGTGGTGAGTGTGTGTGGCTGTTTGGTGTGCCTATATGTGTGTGTAGTGTGTGTGTGTGCTTGTTTGTGCGGTGTGCCTATATGTGTGTGTAGTGTGTGTGTGTGCTTGTTTGTGCGGTGTGCCTATATGTGTGTGTAGTGTGTGTGTGTGCTTGTTTGTGCGGTGTGCCTATATGTGTGTGTAGTGTGTGTGTGTGCTTGTTTGTGCGGTGTGCCTATATGTGTGTGTAGTGTGTGTGTGTGCTTGTTTGTGTGGTGTGCCTATATATGTGTGTGTAGTGTGTGTGCTTGTTTGTGTGGTGTGCCTATATGTGTGTGTAGTGTGTGTGTGTGCTTGTTTGTGCGGTGTGCATATATGTGTGTGTAGTGTGTGCTTGTTTGTGTGGTGTGCCTATATATGTGTATGTGTGTCTGTCTGTGTATAAGGTCAGGGGAGAGAACCGCCTATTTTTGTTACTTCAAGCTCCCCACAGCGATAACTCGTGGGAGGATCTCTTCTATATTATCACACAGACAGCCACAGCCATGCCAGCTCCCTCACAGCAATGTCACTTTACACCCTGCTGTCTCTGTAAGCTACACCCTCACCAATGTCAGTGAATACGGTGAAAGTTTACACACAGTTCGTGGCACAACAAGTGAAACTTGCTTGACGAGATCAAACAAGAAACTGGGTAAACGGGACATAAGTTAAACATTTGGTACGCAGCCTTGTATATATAACGACGTCTCAACAAGAGTAAAAGGAAGGTGTGTTGGGTGATGTTGTGGGTTGGGATGTTCTGGTTGTTGGAGCAAGACGTGGTGGGGAGGGTAGGGTGATGTTGTTGTGGTTGTTGGAGTAAGACGTGGTGGGGAGGGTAGGGTGATGTTGTTCTGGTTGTTGGAGTAAGACGTGGTGGGGTGGGTGATGTTGTTGTGGTTGTTGGAGTAAGACGTGGTGGGGAGGGTAGGGTGATGTTGTTCTGGTTGTTGGAGTAAGACGTGGTGGGGAGGGTAGGGTGATGTTGTTGTGGTTGTTGGAGTAAGACGTGGTGGGGAGGGTAGGGTGATGTTGTTGTGGTTGTTGGAGTAAGACGTGGTGGGGAGGGTAGGGTGATGTTGTTGTGGTTGTTGGAGTAAGACGTGGTGGGGAGGGTAGGGTGATGTTGTGGGTGATGTTGTTGTGGTTGTTGGAGTAAGACGTGGTGGGGAGGGTAGGGTGATGTTGTTGTGGTTGTTGGAGTAAGACGTGGTGGGTAGGGTGATGTTGTTGTGGTTGTTGGAGTAAGACGTGGTGGGGAGGGTAGGGTGATGTTGTTGTGGTTGTTGGAGTAAGACGTGGTGGGGTGGGTGATGTTGTTCTGGTTGTTGGAGTAAGACGTGGTGGGGAGGGTAGGGTGATGTTGTTGTGGTTGTTGGAGTAAGACGTGGTGGGGAGGGTAGGGTGACGTTGTTGTGGTTGTTGGAGTAAGACGTGGTGGGGAGGGTAGGGTGATGTTGTTCTGGTTGTTGGAGTAAGACGTGGTGGGGAGGGTAGGGTGATGTTGTTGTGGTTGTTGGAGTAAGACGTGGTGGGGAGGGTAGGGTGATGTTGTTGTGGTTGTTGGAGTAAGACGTGGTGGGGAGGGTAGGGTGATGTTGTTGTGGTTGTTGGAGTAAGACGTGGTGGGGAGGGTAGGGTGATGTTGTTCTGGTTGTTGGAGTAAGACGTGGTGGGGAGGGTAGGGTGATGTTGTTGTGGTTGTTGGAGTAAGACGTGGTGGGGAGGGTAGGGTGATGTTGTTCTGGTTGTTGGAGTAAGACGTGGTGGGGAGGGTAGGGTGATGTTGTTGTGGTTGTTGGAGTAAGACGTGGTGGGGAGGGTAGGGTGATGTTGTTGTGGTTGTTGGAGTAAGACGTGGTGGGGAGGGTAGGGTGATGTTGTTGTGGCTGTTGGAGAAAGACGTGGTGGGGAGGGTAGGGTGATGTTGTTCTGGTTGTTGGAGTAAGACGTGGTGGGGAGGGTAGGGTGATGTTGTTGTGGTTGTTGGAGTAAGACGTGGTGGGGAGGGTAGGGTGATGTTGTTGTGGTTGTTGGAGTAAGACGTGGTGGGGAGGGTAGGGTGATGTTGTGGGTGATGTTGTTGTGGTTGTTGGAGTAAGACGTGGTGGGGAGGGTAGGGTGATGTTGTTCTGGTTGTTGGAGTAAGACGTGGTGGGGAGGGTAGGGTGATGTTGTTGTGGTTGTTGGTGTAATACGTGGTGGGGAGGGTAGGGTGATGTTGTTGTGGTTGTTGGAGTAAGACGTGGTGGGGTGGGTGATGTTGTTCTGGTTGTTGGAGTAAGACGTGGTGGGGAGGGTAGGGTGATGTTGTTGTGGTTGTTGGAGTAAGACGTGGTGGGGAGGGTAGGGTGATGTTGTTGTGGTTGTTGGAGTAAGACGTGGTGGGGAGGGTAGGGTGATGTTGTTGTGGTTGTTGGAGTAAGACGTGGTGGGGAGGGTAGGGTGATGTTGTTGTGGTTGTTGGAGTAAGACGTGGTGGGGAGGGTAGGGTGATGTTGTTGTGGTTGTTGGAGTAAGACGTGGTGGGGAGGGTAGGGTGATGTTGTGGGTGATGTTGTTGTGGTTGTTGGAGTAAGACGTGGTGGGGAGGGTAGGGTGATGTTGTTCTGGTTGTTGGAGTAAGACGTGGTGGGGAGGGTAGGGTGATGTTGTGGGTGATGTTGTTCTGGTTGTTGGTGTAAGACGTGGTGGGGAGGGTAGGGTGATGTTGTTGTGGTTGTTGGAGTAAGACGTGGTGGGGAGGGTAGGGTGATGTTGTTGTGGTTGTTGGAGTAAGACGTGGTGGGGAGGGTAGGGTGATGTTGTGGGTGATGTTGTTGTGGTTGTTGGAGTAAGACGTGGTGGGGAGGGTAGGGTGATGTTGTTGTGGTTGTTGGAGTAAGACGTGGTGGGGAGGGTAGGGTGATGTTGTGGGTGATGTTGTTCTGGTTGTTGGTGTAAGACGTGGTGGGGAGGGTAGGGTGATGTTGTTGTGGTTGTTGGAGTAAGACGTGGTGGGGAGGGTAGGGTGATGTTGTTGTGGTTGTTGGAGTAAGACGTGGTGGGGAGGGTAGGGTGATGTTGTTGTGGTTGTTGGAGTAAGACGTGGTGGGGTGGGTAGGGTGATGTTGTTGTGGTTGTTGGAGTAAGACGTGGTGGGGTGGGTGATGTTGTTCTGGTTGTTGGAGTAAGACGTGGTGGGGTGGGAAGGGTGATGTTGTTGTGGTTGTTGGTGTAAGACGTGGTGGGGAGGGTAGGGTGATGTTGTTGTGGTTGTTGGAGTAAGACGTGGTGGGGAGGGTGATGTTGTTCTGGTTGTTGGTGTAAGACGTGGTGGGGAGGGTAGGGTGATGTTGTTGTGGTTGTTGGAGTAAGACGTGGTGGGGAGGGTAGGGTGATGTTGTTGTGGTTGTTGGAGTAAGACGTGGTGGGGAGGGTAGGGTGATGTTGTTGTGGTTGTTGGAGTAAGACGTGGTGGGGTGGGTAGGGTGATGTTGTTGTGGTTGTTGGAGTAAGACGTGGTGGGGTGGGTGATGTTGTTCTGGTTGTTCGAGTAAGACGTGGTGGGGTGGGTAGGGTGATGTTGTTGTGGTTGTTGGTGTAAGACGTGGTGGGGAGGGTAGGGTGATGTTGTTGTGGTTGTTGGAGTAAGACGTGGTGGGGAGGGTAGGGTGATGTTGTTCTGGTTGTTGGTGTAAGACGTGGTGGGGAGGGTAGGGTGATGTTGTTGTGGTTGTTGGAGTAAGACGTGGTGGGGAGGGTAGGGTGATGTTGTTGTGGTTGTTGGAGTAAGACGTGGTGGGGAGGGTAGGGTGATGTTGTTGTGGTTGTTGGAGTAAGACGTGGTGGGGTGGGTAGGGTGATGTTGTTGTGGTTGTTGGAGTAAGACGTGGTGGGGTGGGTGATGTTGTTCTGGTTGTTCGAGTAAGACGTGGTGGGGTGGGTAGGGTGATGTTGTTGTGGTTGTTGGTGTAAGACGTGGTGGGGAGGGTAGGGTGATGTTGTTGTGGTTGTTGGAGTAAGACGTGGTGGGGAGGGTAGGGTGATGTTGTTGTGGTTGTTGGTGTAAGACGTGGTGGGGAGGGTAGGGTGATGTTGTTGTGGTTGTTGGAGTAAGACGTGGTGGGGTGGGTGATGTTGTTGTGGTTGTTTGAGTAAGACGTGGTGGGGTGGGTAGGGTGATGTTGTTGTGGTTGTTGGAGTAAGACGTGGTGGGGTGGGTGATGTTGTTGTGGTTGTTGGTGTAAGACGTGGTGGGGAGGGTAGGGTGATGTTGTTGTGGTTGTTGGAGTAAGACGTGGTGGGGAGGGTAGGGTGATGTTGTTGTGGTTGTTGGAGTAAGACGTGGTGGGGTGGGTGATGTTGTTGTGGTTGTTGGAGTAAGACGTGGTGGGGAGGGTAGGGTGATGTTGTTGTGGTTGTTGGAGTAAGACGTGGTGGGGTGGGTGATGTTGTTGTGGTTGTTGGAGTAAGACGTGGTGGGGTGGGAAGGGTGATGTTGTGGGTTATGTTGTTGTGGTTGTTGGAGTAAGACGTGGTGGGGAGGGTAGGGTGATGTTGTTGTGGTTGTTGGAGTAAGACGTGGTGGGGAGGGTAGGGTGATGTTGTTGTGGTTGTTGGAGTAAGACGTGGTGGGGAGGGTAGGGTGATGTTGTTGTGGTTGTTGGAGTAAGACGTGGTGGGGTGGGTAGGGTGATGTTGTTGTGGTTGTTGGAGTAAGACGTGGTGGGGAGGGTAGGGTGATGTTGTTGTGGTTGTTGGAGTAAGACGTGGTGGGGTGGGTAGGGTGATGTTGTTCTGGTTGTTGGTGTAAGACGTGGTGGGGAGGGTAGGGTGATGTTGTTGTGGTTGTTGGAGTAAGACGTGGTGGGGTGGGTGATGTTGTTGTGGTTGTTGGAGTAAGACGTGGTGGGGAGGGTAGGGTGATGTTGTTGTGGTTGTTGGAGTAAGACGTGGTGGGGTGGGTGATGTTGTTCTGGTTGTTGGAGTAAGACGTGGTGGGGTGGGAAGGGTGATGTTGTGGGTTATGTTGTTGTGGTTGTTGGAGTAAGACGTGGTGGGGAGGGTAGGGTGATGTTGTTGTGGTTGTTGGAGTAAGACGTGGTGGGGAGGGTAGGGTGATGTTGTTCTGGTTGTTGGAGTAAGACGTGGTGGGGTGGGTAGGGTGATGTTGTTGTGGTTGTTGGAGTAAGACGTGGTGGGGAGGGTAGGGTGATGTTGTTGTGGTTGTTGGTGTAAGACGTGGTGGGGAGGGTAGGGTGATGTTGTTGTGGTTGTTGGTGTAAGACGTGGTGGGGAGGGTAGGGTGATGTTGTTGTGGTTGTTGGTGTAAGACGTGGTGGGGAGGGTAGGGTGATGTTGTTGTGGTTGTTGGTGTAAGACGTGGTGGGGTGGGTGATGTTGTTCTGGTTGTTGGAGTAAGACGTGGTGGGGAGGGTAGGGTGATGTTGTTGTGGTTGTTGGAGTAAGACGTGGTGGGGAGGGTAGGGTGATTTTGTTCTGGTTGTTGGAGTAAGACGTGGT